TTTGCAATCCTTAAAGGCTGTAATTGCTTTGATTGTTTACAGTCCGCACTGGCCACTTTTTATGATTACAGCATCACAGTTGGTAAACTGTACAAGAGAGTAAGCGTAAGCAGGTTACTTAAGGTGTTTTCGAAATTGTAACGCAAAGGGCTGCTGACTACATCACATTCAAAACTATTGTGGTATCTATTTTCCCTCATTCGTCGTTTGACACTGGACAATCTTTACAAAACCCCTAAGCCGTTGTCCTTGAGTGAATGACTGCAGATGATAGACACGCTTAAAGTACACATTTAACAAAAGTCAACATTGGGATGGCAGGGCTCAAGTAGTTTATGTAACCCTTCCACTTATGAAAGTGCCCGTGCCTGTGAAATTTTCGCTATACGTCTTGTCGTTCACCCTTCGTGCTATCGATCGCCGCTGCCAAGTGTGAAATCCTCCTTTCTGATGGGCAAGTGCCTCCCTCTTCAGCTGATTTTAATACCCGCCGCGTATTGTTTCTTTTGCTATGGTAGCAGATCTACTCGAACCAGCATAACTCCTTGTTTTTATGATCGGATTTGAACAACACCTTAGCATCTTGACAAATTTGACCGCACCAAGATTTTGTTTAGACTTTCATGATCTCACCATGGTGCTAGGCCAACGAAGCAATTCATGGCCATGAGGCGAGCTCAATATTACTTTGTAGACCTCAATGGACTAAAACGTTGCTGGAGCGCGAATACAAGCACCTTAGTTTATCCCGTTGGCAGTCCTGGAGATCGAACACTGCACATCCGTAATATATCAAATCTACTGGCAGCAAATAATACAGATCAACCATTTTGTCTTTTAGTAAAATAAGATGATCTTTGTTTTAAACCCTGTACTGGTTTCTTGCTTTACACAATAAAAAGCCATTTTAAGGGGGAAAATTATGATACCACTAGTTGAATTTGGAAAGCTTACTGTTTCCTCTTGCAGCTTTGTGGATGGTTTAGTTATGTGAGAACAATGTGTGAACGCTAACTCAAACTCACAGCTAGAGATCCAAGTTTTACGTTACCTTAGTGATCATAAGGATGCAAGTTAACTTTAGATGTATGAACGAATATTTAAGACGACCGTATCTACTACCTTCGTGGGAGGTCCTGGTCGGTCCTCTTTGAATGAAGTGACTGGATTGCAAATGTCACTGTTGCCAACGTGTCTGCTATTTATGATTTACTGCGCTCTACCATCATGGGGTGGAGTAGGCAGTGGCAGCCACTGAGCCTAAGAAGGATGTACCACCATCCGTCGCCTTAGTGCCGACGCAAAAGACCCCACACGATGAGAAAAGATGTAGAATAGGGGTGCAGTGGATTCCATGGCACTTCCAAAGCTCCTTCAAATATCACACCATATTGTGGTCTAGTGGGCGATTAGATGTGCGCGTTTGTGTGTGCACATGTGGAAGGCGCCTGTCCGGACACACCGGCACTGCGGCGCTAGTAGGCTGTTAATCTTGGTGGTGCAGTGCGTGGTCTGTGGGGTGGTGCGAGGGCTATTCGTGCGATCATGTAGGTTGGGTCGCCCCTGTAGGGATTCCATTTCTATGGTGCAGTCGCGTCCCAAGGCCGGAAGCATTAACATTCATTAGTGTTAGTTAAAAAGAAATCGCGATTTTCTCAAATTAGTTATTTGGTAGTTAAATATTGGCGTTCTATTTCCTTAAGCAGGCACTCGATTACTATGTCAAAGCTACATTTTTCCCAATTCCAGTTCAAATGATAACAACTTATTATGTTCGCGAAGAGACATTGACTAGGCACAAAATATTACATTACTAAGTTAGATTTGAAGCTGCCTTTTGCAAATCCAGAACTGCTTGAATGTTACTGAAATTAGCTGACTCATAAACGCAACAATAATTTTGGCACTAGTAAGTATTGACAAAGGAGAGCCATGCGTCGAGGATAAAAAGAGCTCGGCCTTGGTTTAGACTGCCTTTGTGCAATTCTGACCATTGCATCGAACGCTCGAACCCTTCATGCGGGGGAACCTTTTATCCTAAAGTGGAGCCCACAATGAACCTAATATTGTCGCCACTCTTTTAACATGTGCCGACATGCGATTATTGCAGAACTTAATTTATTTAAGTGGGTATTTTTGGGCTGGAAAAGAGTTTCAAACTTCTTAAATATGTAGGTTTGAGTAGGAAGTAGAGTGCCACACTGACTTGACTGTATGCATTATGCTTTTGGAAGTCATTTTCAACTAATTTTAAAATAGAAGGGGCTGCTAGACTCTTAAGCCCCCTAAATTTTACTACTTGGGCTTAGGTTTGCAATTTATAAAAAGGAGTTTGACTTGAGTCATGTATAAGCATATGCACATTGGTCAAGCCTTTTTCATTAAGATCCTGTTTACTCCTACCAATGGAAACAACTTGCGTGAGCAAAATCCTCAATAATACAAAAGCTATTTTTACGGGAAATTTACTAAAAGGGATGCAATGAATTCGCAATACACAGACAGGTGGCGGACTGTTCAGTATCTCATATTGTAGCAGAGGAAGGCGATAACTAAAGTATGGCAATATCACCAAATAGGGCGAGCAGTAGACTGTAAAAGTTAAAAATTCTACTGTAAGTTTATACTAGGTTTAGGCTTAAAGCTGCCTGGGAGTCAGCCAAGCACTGAAGATGTAGAAAGGCAGAAAGGACGAAAGACTATCACTAATCCCATTTGGATTTTTCAATGGTTCTTCTTCTACTCGTCACTATTGGGGACATGAAGGCTTTGTAGGAAAACAGCCGTCAACCTCACGAGTGTTGTCGCTGTGGTGATGGCGAAGGTAGGCGCGACGCTAATTCAAGCACGTTGGACCACACGCGTGGAGTCCAACTGACGGCTGAACGAAAGGGAGGACAAGCGGACGCATGATGCAGCCCAACAGTTGTTTTACATATGCGGAAGAAATGCCATTTCCTCATTGAAAAGCTAAATAAAATCTACTTACATATATAAAAGAAAATGATGATATGCAGAGAAATGCAGGTAAATAGAGGCTTTGGCTCTGTATTTACGTGGTTGAAAGAGGCTGAAGTCAGTACTATGGAAAATGAAGATTTATTTTCTTCTGCATGTTTTCAGAACTCAAATGGAAAACTACGCCATCACCATATTGTATGTAGAGTTGTTTGAGAGCCAACGCGTCCAAGACAGGCTATTCGAGCAGACGAATCAACTTTCACAACTAATGCGAATGCTTGAAACATTTGGTATTTTGATGGTTTTCGAGACTTACTAATCTGTAGGTGACAAAATGACGTCCGTTTGATTTAGTGAGTTGTCCATCTTTAATGGACAAAGACCTACATTGGTTGTAACTATTCGCATTTGAATGATTATTCTCCGGGAATCTGCCAATTAAAAATGATAATGAAGTTTGTTTAACTATCAACCACATTGTCGATCAAGTAAATGGTTCATAATATCGAGGTAACGTTAAGAAAGATAGCTGGTATGGAAACATACAGAGACAATGCGAAAAGATTCGTGCGAATCAAGCTGTTGTAAATTTGGGATAAAATTTGTTTGAACAAACTCAAATGGACATCTGAACGTTAGTTTATAAAAACACCTGGGTATTTTGGACAATTTAACAGATACTTCCCTTTTTAAGCTAGCCTTGCATAACGTTTTCAATGACTTAAAGCTTATATCAGTGCAAGATTTACTATAAATCACTTCTACTCATGATTTATGAGTAAAACAGCGAACATTACTATTCGACATAATTACGAAAGAGCAGATTTGAAATTCAAATCGCACACGACCGACTTCATGCTTCGATCGGTTCGCCGTCTTGTGAGTGAGGCTAGGCACAATCTTGCCCCAGGCCGGATTTCTCGTCGTTTTAACAGTTTTTTTCAACGTATGAATCGGATCCCATTGTTATGTGGCGCCCGACTATGTAGGTCACGTTGCCTCACTTCACGGGTTTCTGAGCCTGCTCAGTGCACCTTTAGAGAAGCCGAAAGATATGCGAGTAGCATCTTTCAACGCAGGAAGCACTATGTCAATGAACGAGCTGATAATGAAGGGTCACCGTTCGCAAGAACTCGCCGAGCCAGATGCAGAACACAAGTCCTTCATTCATCTTCTTCGCACCTACTGACATGCCAAGTAGTTACTGTGCTCAGTCAGATTGGGTTGAGAATTCACATGATAGCTGAGGGTCGACTGACAGTGACCTGGCCAACGGAGACGAATTTGGATGGTTCAGAGCTCCAAGAGCCACTATCGGTCGCGTTGGAGATATGTAGGGATCAAGGTATGAAGTTTCGGCGGCTCTCTGGATCTGAGAGTCTTTTCCGATGGAAACTACAGGAAGTTCTTGCTCTTGTTTACGCTAAGTGTGGATGGTGAAGATGTATTCCATTTGTTATATTATCTGAGACTCGAATTGATTGATTATTATTGCACAGAACGAAAATCGGTTCGAACTGCATGGAAACATTTGAATTAAAAATGGGTCAAGCGAATTTTAGTAAGAAATTTTTTGCCATCTGATGAATCTTAAGTATTAGTGACGAAAGCATCAGATCAACAAATGAATAATTCAATGCTTTGATAGCAGTTACTAAAGTCGTTATTCTGCCACCAATAAACGATTACCTTTTGACTGCCGACACAGATGTAAGACGTTTGAGTCAGTCGTCCAATGAACCTTTACCTGATATAGATACAAACTATAAAGTTGATGGGTTGTTGAACAGCATCGGTGACAGCAATCTCCACGAACTTGTCGTAGAACCACGAGAGGCTGATTAAGAGCAATAAATTTGATGAATGACACCACACCTAACAGAAACCACACACTGTAGGCCAAACCTCAATCCTTGGAGACCTCTGCTCCCTGCTGAACTAATGCAACAGTGTTGAATATACTGTTGAATATATATTATAAAAACCATACAATAGACCTTTCTGTACATCAATACAAGCTGAGGAATTGAAGGGAACATTTAAGTAGCAGAACGGGAGCGCTGTGAGCCTGATCTGACGTTTTGATGGCGTCGATATCGATCATCAGCGTACATCGCTGGGGAGGACGTACGACAGCCACTGCGATCCTCATAATCGCCGTTTGATCTCATTCTTCCTCCCGAGGAACCGTTACGGGGAGAACTTGATCGCGAGCGCGAACGCCTATCATGTTCCCAACGCTCACGATCACTAGTCTTCGAGTAACTTCGAGAACGCCGAGAATACTGACGGGAAGCAGACCTAAAGTGGAGGATATTCAACAAAAGGGCACGATTCAAGTGGCTTAAGTAATCTTAAGGTTGGGCATGAATACATTGCCAGCATAAGCGCGACTAACCCTACGGGTATATACTCCGAAACTAGCACTAAAAACCCACGATGCTAGCGGCAAGGTAAACCACAACATCGAAATACTCAAAACAGCTCACCTGGAACGGCGACGACCGAAGCGATTGGCACGATCTCTCATTTCGGCAGGAGCTAAATCACTAGTCAGGCAAAGAAACTTTGCTTACTCTTACGATAACCTCGAGTAAATTCCACCTCTATTCGTCGACCCATGAATCGAGTTTGATCCATGCTACGTTGAGCGTATTCAGCATCTCTAGAATCCTCAAACTTGCACATTCAAAAGCAGGGACCGTGAAGGAACATATACTCAAAGCAACACTATACACTACCGTGATACTACGCATGAACAGTGCTACAAAGACTGGAAACCACAAGCTAAGCCATGCTCAAGAAGGAAGCAAAAATAAGCTGAGCTCCAGAACTATTTTGATGGATTCAATGAACTATCGACCTTAGTATGTGTCTCTTGCAACAAGGGCCTAAGGCAATATTTTGGTGGCTTATGATGACGGAAAAAAAGAGGACAGCAAATACCACAGCAACTCTTAAAAGGATATTCAACGAAGGCAAAGCCCTTCATGCGACCAGAATAATAATCAGTTGGTATCGTCACATCTATGATGGGACCGTACCGTCCAAAAGTCCTACGAAGATCCTCATGCCTATTAAACTGGTAAACATGCTGATAGCCTGTACCTGCAGGAATCGGGTAGATTATTAACATAGATCGAGCACCGTCGGGACATACGCAAGAAATGCTTACTACCCGCCAAATGTGTAAGCAATGGAAAGTAAAACAAGTGGCTTATAAAAAGAAGGGCACCAAAATCAATTATGATTTTTAAAACAGTTCCAGGTGCAAAATAAACAAACTAAAGGCCTCCAAATCTATATAAATGGAACCAATGGAAAGAGATTGGCTATTACAAAAATAAAATAAAATAAAATAAAAATAAAATAAATTGTAGTCAACTATAATATAGGGAATAAGCACCTTTGATAAATCAGGCACAACAAAAGTAATTATTATCTCTACACATCACCAAACATATAATAAATTTAGCTGTGGTTTCGAGCGTGCTGACACTCAAGTCTCCTGTAATTAACATTTCGATAATTTGCAGTTGTTGTAGCTGTAGCGTCCCGGGGCTTCCTATAGGGTGGAAAAGGCATAAGTAAGGTTGAATACATGTATTCCGAAGACGACAGGGCAAACGGGGCCTGAGTGTGGCCTGAAGGCCAGCCCACGTGTGCAGAGACCAGGCAAATTCTATAGTGACTGCCAAACGTCGTGTTCACATAAGTAAAGTCTTACACTGCCCCTTTATTCTTTTGAGCGGCGTCTTCAGCGCTCCCATGATACACTTCTCGCGTCAGTCATCGAAACATATTCGGTACCACAAGAAAGCACCCACGAGCCAACCGCGCCAGTCGACAGACAGCATGAGACTGAGAAACCGTACCTGGTCTTTCCGGCAGCTTTAACTGGATCTGGAGTTACGTACCTTCACTTTCCCAGATAGTTCATGACGGTGTTGCTTCAGTTGTTAATAGCTCGTCTGTCGAACCCGAGAGTAAGGTGAAACCAAATGCAATCGTCCGTCTAAATTCTTTCCTTGTATTCAGAGATTTCCTGTCAACAAGGTAAATGCGCATCCTTCAATTCACGTCCCCTTTTCTCCTGTATCTTCATCTGTTGCAATTCGCTAATGTCAGACTTCCTTTTACGCATATATAGTTCATGATTGCCGGCGCACAACGCCAGAATGAGCTTATTACTCCTGGATTTCTCCACCAGGCGATGGGATTCCTTTTAAGTCTTGTCAGGTGGATGAATTACACACTTATTGTCGTGAAAAGAAGCGTTTCGAATTTCCGGCCGAGGAAACCCGATTTTTGGGTCCAACAGATTATCAGGTTCATGGATACAAAAACCCAGAGTATCAACATTAAGAACAAGTGATATACATCTCCTACCTCCATGCGACTTGTAGGTACTGAAGAATTCAATCGTCCGATCAAAGCCTTGCTCGTCGGATTGTTTGCCCTGTTCTTTTCCGGAAATCAGTCGATTAATTGACAATGTTTAGCAACACAAACGTAGGATGTCAGTAAGACAGCGGTGTCTGTTGCGCAATATATTTTCGCTTCTAATAAGCCGCAGAGGGAGACCCACTTCGACTGCATCAGAAGGTCTTCAAAAACACTTTATACCTAAAAGTTGTCAAAAAATATCGGATTTTGCATTCCGCTGTCACCAGTGTAGCGTCGCGAGGCTTCCTACATGGTGGAAGAAGGCATAAGTGAGGTTGAATATATGTATTCTGAAGACGACAGGGCAAATGAGGCCTGAGTGTGGCCTGAAGGCCAGCCCACGTGTACGGGGACTGGGCAAATTCTATATTGACTGCCAAACGTCATCTGGTCACATGAACAAAGTATTACAGTAGCGTCCCACATTTGTAGGTTCTCGAGACCTCCTAGCTGTATAAGAAGTCAGTAAGTGCAGCCGGATACATGCATTTCGAAGACAACAGGGCAAATGGGCCTGGGATTGGCCCGAAGGCCAACCCACAACTACAAGAGCGAGACAAATCCTAAAGTGACCGCCAAACTTCATGTGGTCACGCAAACAAAGCATTACAATATCTTCTTGTTAGATAGAAGAACAAATTAATTTGATCCAAGTGCATGCCTTCTCGAAGATAAGAAGGGATTTAGCTTTAACTTGGCTTGAAAACCATTCCAATCTGCCAGCAAACGAAAAGCAGATTCGGCCATAGCATCATATTACCTAGTCAAATGAACATTCTTAGCTTCGGTTATCACAGAAGAGAACAAGCTCAAAGTCACAAGTGGCGCCACTTGAGTTTGTGACGTTCTGACTGGCAAATTCATTGTGCAGAACCTAGTGACAAGTAATAACGCCATACTGTCGAGTCAGAATGTTCACCAAACAAAACACGGAAATCGAAGTACAATATGAAGTTCAGGGTATGAATACAAAAACGAACTACTGTGTTTAAGGATCCTAGAGGTAAGTTATACTATGGTTCAATAGGTACTCATAAGACCAACAGCCGAAGCTGCGTTGTACTTCACTTCAACCATGTACCCTTTGGGGGGATCACAACAACAAACGCTCTTAAAGTCCTTATTGGTGTCCATACACGCAGATATCTACATACTTATGCCAATTTGTGAAGCAATAGGATCTTTTTAAAATTTTAAAATGGTTTGTTTAATTTAATTGGTTTGATGGGCGCGTTGATGAATTGGGGTTCAGTAGATTGGGTACGGTGGTGTGTGCTTGAAACTGCTATATGCGGGTCCGACTTATGCCTTCTTCAACTGAGCCTGTTCATCATTCGTGGGTTGTGTTCGTCATGTCATCTTTTGCGCTTAGTTCTTGACCTGTTACTATTTGCTTTTGTTCAGAATTATGTTGGTCTTTCGATTCACTTGTGTTCAATTGAGCTTTTGCCTATTCACGTCATTGATAGCACAGTTTCTTTTTGGCGCGCGGAATTCGCTTACTAAAATAGGTGAAGTTATCTTCATTCCACCTTCGCCTTTGCTTCAATGCTAATTTTCGTACTTACGGCTATCGTAACTCATGTTAAATCCAAGGATTCGGATACTTATACGCATATGTTAGTCGGTTTCAATTTCTAACTCACTGAGTCCGTGGGTTGTTCTTCCAGTTTGCCGTTATGCGGGTCAAATTTGCCCTTCAAAATTCATGGTTGAAATTTCAATGCCTAGTATCCTTATTAATAGTGATCGCATTTGCGCATGGTTAACACTGCAGTTTACATCTGTACGTAGGCTTACTCGTTGATAAACTAATAATTTGATCTCGACTCGTGAAACTCCACTATTATTCCTTGGGCACACGTAATTTAGTGTTTTGTCTGTAGGTGATAATGCATCGATTTACATTCTTCTCAAAATTATTACGTCAGGGAACATTTACGGCGTCTTCAAAGGAAGAAGGTCTTGCATCGCATAAGGTAAGTTTTCATTCCATCTAATTTGTCTCAAGCTTCTCCTTCATGGTGGAATTTTATCCGTCAGCTCTCCAGGCACATTCGTTTTGTCTCCGATCGCTTTGCGCGTTGTCGATAAACTCACCGCGTTTATTGACTACAAAATGTCTGAGGTTGGTGGACAAAAATGTCTCTTTCCGACGCTTGGTAGGTCCCAACTGTGGGCCCAGTCGGGGCGATGGGAGAAATTTGGTGCTGACATGTTTCGTCTGAATGATCGGGTTGGTCGATCACTCTGTCTGCAACCAGTGAGCATACGCCTTTCACATTAACGTCTTAACCACTCAGACACATGAAGAGGAAGCGTGTGAGTTCGTCCATAGTTTTGATTTGGGGAGTAGCGTTCTACCTTTGCGCATATACCAGATCTCAGCAAAGTTTCGCGACGAAATTAAACCAAAACTGGGTCTCCTTCGGTGTCGCGAGTTTCTGATGAAAGGTGGGAAGGACTGCCACTACAAAAATTATACTTTTAGACATGTATTCCTTTGATGTGGATGCTGAAGCTGCCAAGGAAACTTACGATACTTTGTCAAACACTTATTTAGAGATTTTCCATACACTCCGTCTGCCCATTTTTAAAGGTGCGTTTTTTGCTGCCATATTTTGATGCCTGATTCCAGTTCCAGTGTCATTTTAAAATTTTTGTCTCCAAGTCATTCTCAAAGACGAAACTGAGACGACTTACTCATTTGATTTCAGTTACGGCCGAAGGAGGGCTCATGGGCGATTGTCCCTCTCATGAGTTCCATTGTCTTCTGCCTGTTGGCGAAGACACATTGTCGGTTTGTCCAAGGTGTGCTTCCAAATACCGCACCTCGAATCTGTTCGACCTTTTATATCCCACATTCATTACGTGATTTAATCCTCAAAAAGTGATATAACGTACCTATTGAAGGGGAACTGTTGACCTCACGAAAACCCTCCCATTGATCATCTTTTGCAGTTGCAAAAAAGCTGTCTTGGCTGCAAACTCAGGTATCGCAACTTCGGGTGTTCTACAAGATTCTCGAGTGTGTCCCGACTGTGGCTTGAGTTGTCAGGTGTCTAAGTCAGTTGAGGCAAGTTAGGTTTTATATGCGACCTCCACTGACGGTATCCGTTTGTAATCCTCTTGTTCGTCCTGCAATTAAGTTATTCATGCACCATGATAAATGAGCAATTCACTCTCACTTTATTATCAAATGCTTCTATCTCCCCCAGCTAGCACACTGTTTCCTACTCGGAGATAAGTATACATCCAGCTTCAATGTGAAGACAATCACGCAGAATGGAATCAAGTACGTTGCTTTGCACTGTTTTTGCATTTACTCAGAGTCCTGCAAATGGGCTGTTACGGAATTGGGATAACACGTCTTTTGGCCACGGCATTGGAATACTTTACCACCACTAGCACAGAAGGAAACCCACCTACGGAGCTACGCTGGCCTTCGGGTTTTGCTCCGTACAGCGGAGCTATTGCCCTGCAGAAGGTGAGTTTTACCTCCCAAGACCACACTACTTGTTTTTGACTAGTAAGTACAACTTTCCCAACCGTTTCAGGATAATGCCAAGGATGCGCTGTCGACGGACGAGCTGAATGTAGTCCTCGCTCGCTTTAGAGATTTCCCTTCACCATCCACTAGTCTCACACCAGGTTCGACATTTTTCGCGGGTCTTCTTCCGCGTGGTGATATTCTTGTGGACGATCGGCCCCGGCTGAGTCTTGGTCGAAAGCTTCTTGATCTTCGCAGACTTGGCGTACCTTGGATCCTCGTTGCCAAGGTATTTTGTGTTACAATCAGATTTATCAATATCATGATCCTCTATTATGTTTTACTCTCCGCTCAGAGCCTCCAAAGTAGCCCCAGCCCAGAATATGAACTCGTGGATGTCAATCGAGGAGGAATTTCTTTTGCTGCCAGTCTTGACGACGCTGCGACCGCTTTCACTTGCTCTGATTTCGAAGTTCCACTTCTTAGCGTCAGTGATGGCCAACGTAAGAAGCTCTGGCATGGGAGTGGTGTATCCAGATAGTTATTGTGTGTTTATGCACCCACATACATACATATGGATCTATCAAATGTACCTCTCTGCTGTTCTCTCAGGACAGGAGACCAAAGAGTAGGCGATGCATAAGGATCAATAATAACGTAACTACAATCACGCAGAAACCTAGCCACTGACAACGTAAGCGCACGCTGGTAGGCCTACAGACACGCCACATGAAAATGAACGTCTCATAAAAGTGCAGTAATGAGGGTGAGGGCGCAGCAGGATGGTATGACGAATCTCTCTAAATGCACGCGCTCAAACGATGGGTGTGGGAGAGAAGGGAAGTTAGAGAGGGTGGAAGATTTCATCCTTTGAGGGGCAGGCTACACCCGCCGCCCATCCTGGGTTTGATGTGCTGTTCCACCAACTGTCGTAGACCTTCTACCTCCCCCTGTGTCTGCTCCAGCTCCCGTTTTAGTTGTCTGTTGGTTTCGGAGAGCTGTGAAACCTTTTTTTCCAGTGTTTCGATGAGGCGAATCTTCCGTTCCCGACATCTTCGAGCAGCGTCGCGGTTCCTTGCCCGTTTCTGTTCCAACCGGTTGAGTTGTGTGGTCAGCGACTCCCCTACAGTAACGGGGCGAGAGAAGAGACCTGAACAGCGCCTCCGACCCATTGGTTGCGTTCCACCAAATAGGGAAGAGTCGGAGGAAGCAGGTCGGGTTGGACGATTGGTCTCACTGTCAAGGATTGATGAAGACTCTTGGAGGCCACTGGTAGAAGATGAAACAACGTCTTGGTGGTGATGATGCTGCTGCTGCTGCTCAGCCACCTCTTTAACTTCCCCTCCAGCAGTTACATTTGACTTCGCGGCGACAGTGTCATTGAGAAGGAGAAGGTTGCGAGAGGCGGCAGCGGCGGCAGCGGCCGTGGTGTTCGGAAGGACTACAGCAGTAGTGGGTGAACTGACTAGCGGTGCAGCTATTGAAGAGGATACAGCGGCTGCGGCCGTACCTATTGGTGAGATTAGGATGTAGTTCTGGTTATTGGAGCTATCCGCAGGACCGCTGGAAATGATAAAGCTGTTCTGCGGAATCACGCTGGGCTGTACTGCAGTGCCCGATCCTGATGTCGTTGTGATCTCAGAAGATCCAGCCGTTGCCTCCGCGAAAGATTTTGTCAATTGTGGGATGAAACCACTAGAAACATGAAGTGGTTATATTGTGGTGTATCATGCAATATGCCATAGTTTAAAGGTCATATACTGGGACGGATGTAATAAATCCACAGGTAGATTTTTGAAATCGAGTGATAATTCGCATCTGTTGTTGCAGATCTTTCAGAAAAGATAATTTGTTGAAATTAGGATTCAGCACGGCGACATTTGGTGCCTCAATCAAGGTATGTGAATTGTAGCCACTATCAACCGGGTAGGTGCAAACGATCAGACTGACACTTAAACAGTGCAAAGTCGCGTCGTTGGGAGGGGGAGGAGGAGAGGGAGAAGTCTCCGTCTCAAAGAGTGACTCACAAGGCAATGATATCATTAAAGCAGTCGGTAGCATGTGCACGTGCACGCACAAGGTTACGCACCTATGAGTCACCTGGGCTGACGAGGAAGACCTGAATCACACGCGCAACAGACGACCTCAAAAACGGCGGCCAAGACAAAACAACAGCCAAGGGAAAAGCAGTGAGGCTGTAAAGTCAAGAGCTTCTTCAGTAGTGGAGACTTCTGCTGCGCTACTTCACCCTTGGCAGTAATGAGGAAATGAAAGAGATCTGCACATACCAAACCTTTAATACCTGACTCATCATGTGGTCAGACGATAATCCTCAACGCAAGCAACAGAGAACGCAACTAATCAAATTAATGATTCGAGTGAAATGAAACCAGCCAATTAGCTGAGCTTTCAGTTCTGCACAGTAACTTTATTGGCTATAAGGACAGAACCTTTCCCTATATCAGTAAAAGTGACCAACTTACACTGTCTGACTATGTAAAACATCTTGTGACCAACGTCATACGACTTCTCATGTTATTGAACACGAAGCAATGGCCAACAAGGGTAATGCGCACTAGACCTACCTCGAAACGGAAACCATTGGGCTGATTCATCGTGAATACTTGATCAAAGTAGAACTGGGAATACGACACTAAATTAGTGGTTATCAGGAAAAAAAAGTTGATGGATGTAGTTGTGGGTAGGTTAGGATGTCTCATAGAGGCCACATGAGTGTGTTGCTGAACTTGAGGCACGCAATAGTGCTCGCTTAGGTGCACTAGCGTCGTGACGGATTTGATTCGATCGACGGATAATATCGTGCGGGGGGTGAGCGCGTGAACGCACTTCATGATAAATGGTTCAGGGACACCCCTGTATTGTGCTTGTTGGACACTGCTGCATAGTTTAGCGACGAATTCGTTCGGTGAAATGGGAAGCATAAGCAAATGGTGAAAAATAACGCCCTCCGATTGAACTCCAAGGGATGCCTTTGACTGAAGATTAGGAAACCAATCGAGGCTTCATTGCTGAAGCAAAGGATGGTCTGAGATTTGTCGACGACATAAAATTCAATGTTAATTAAAAAGGCCTGCGTGTGTGTTTGCACATAAAAGCAATAGAGGAGAATGGAAAACATCTTCGTTTGACAGATTTCCTCAATAAGAAAAAAATTACAAGTTTTCCGAAATATTTCAAAGGATCAGGTAAACCACTTAACCCACATAGGAAACTTACATTTGACAGACAGACACAGTTGCACAATTATGCAAAATTGTTTGATTAGGAAGATGAAATAAAAAAGATGACTAATAAAATCGAACCATCGTCGGCTTGGTGCAGTCATAGCGATGCCTGCGGATTCCACCAGAGGCGATTTCCAAAAACCGAGCTACAGCAATACAAATTTTGTAAACACTTTTAGTAAATAAACTACAGCTTCCTTGCATTCATAAGAATCTGATCGCGAATCCTTAGAAGGTTAGAAGATAAACTCTTGGAGGACACTCAACCTCGAACACAGTAACAACTGCGCCCAACACATGTAGGGCTTATCGGAGAGCTAATTAGGTGAATTGTCCGTTAATGCATCATACAGACTTGGAGGTGAAATAGACAAGGGTAGATTTGACCCCTTCAAATTTCTGAGAATAAAGGCACAACCACCATTCTCAAGCGTGTTAATGTGTCGCGGGAGAGGAGCGACTTCGAAGCAAAACAGTGACCGCATGTACTGCCAAGGCGAAATGAGGAGCAGTGCTTTGAGCAGCGCATAGGCAAAGCGAGGTAGCATCAACTGCATAAGACACAGACAATTTCAATGAAACATCAGACCTAGAACTCAAAGGAGCCCAAGCGCTTTTGATAAATCCAGACAAGCTGAAGAGCCATATCTTAATGAAACAGGGCTTCCACATTGCTGATACGCTAATTCTATGATGAACCACCGTTTGGAGCTCCAACTTGTGTAGCCCGGAAGAGAACGCTGCAATACTGGCGTCCAACCGGGATGCGAGAATGTTAAGAAGCCTTGCAAACTATCCAAAAACACAAATGGTTAAGTAGTGCAAATAATAATTTGTATCACACAGATGTAACGCATTGGAAAAGCCTCAGAAGCAAAAAATTGAGATTCTGCTTAAAAATGGGCTGTTGAGTCAGGTTTAGAAAGGTGATAATCACAAGAGACATTTAATGGACCATTTGAAAAGCAGGTGTTATCAGCAGATCAAACTCACACTTAACAAAAAGCACTAGTGATTAGGTTTCAAGTAAATTAGACCTAGTTCTCCTGCTCAAAAGTCATTCTTGGGGGAGTCTTGTAAATGAGTAATGATTGGATTTCAAATGCGGAGATGCCTTCCGTCTACCCAACGGGCTCCAAAAACAGTCAGATTCTAAGTAAGAAATAGTTATCAACATTAATTTTGAACTAATAACTATTCAAAAATAGTTGCAAAAAGCTGGTACTTGATGGTGCATCATTAAAAAGCAGTGAAATCTTACTATTAGGGGTCGGTATAAATGAGAGAAGTAGGACTTGGTCTGACCACAAAACCTAGAGTAAAAGGAGCATTTGGAATGACTCAAGAAAGTGATGTCGCAAGCCAATGGACATTAAAGTAGTTTCTCAGCGTTAAATGGATGAGAGATACAGTTGCTTCAAGTAGACTGACAAGACAGTGAGTGCTATTTTGTGCCGAGGTTCAAAAACCCAATGAAGAGATAAAAGTGTTTACCTGAGCAGGCAGAGAAACACGAGAGACGGTGGCGAGGGGAGAAGCGAGATGAATTCATGGTATCGATGATTTCATCGCTCTGCAGTGTGATGCCACCGAAAAAGCATGGCAGACAGTAGACTTCGGCAATGCAACACTAACCACACACTGAATCATTTTTGGTTGTCGCTGGTGCTACCGCTGTTTTTGTGTTCCCGCTAGAAAGTGTACACCCACGCGCCAACACTCATCAATGCCAATGGTAAAGCATGTGCAATTTTTGAGAGGTTGGAGAAAAATGAAGTAAACGGGTCGTAGTAATTTCGGCCTTCTACTTTAACCCTGTAGAGATAGACCTTTAACCTGAAAATTTTCACATACCTCACCATTCTTATCAAAAACCTGGAGTTTAGTTTTGAAATGCTTCATTGTAAGCAATCGAAGAGGAATTAGGGACTTTTAGAAATTGGGCAATTAAATGCCGACACCTTCGCAACTATTACATTGACCGTAAGCCTCCGTAAGCCGATCTCAAAACCATATTGTAGAGGTCATAAACGGAACTGCCATGGTTTGGAAGTTGTTCATACAGCACAGCGGGGGGATGATGTTAGTGACCAGTAGCTAGTAAAAGTCGATAATGAAATGCCCAACTTGGTATCTTGAAAATCTTAAAAGCACTTTATGATTTTGAACTTTACAAAACTACAAAGCGTGAAGCAAAACATATGGCTCGTTAAAAGGAGGGATTAGTGCAGTTTATGACTCCAAGAATATCCCTAGTGGAGCGTAGGTAGCCATTTGGAAAAATAGGTCTTAGTGTCTATTCACTCTCATACCTCAGATTTGAAGCAATGAGAATAAGGCCTATGAATGCTGAAGTCCGGTACCATGAGGTCAAAATAAGCAACGAAGGCAATGGATGCTTAGACGAAAAGTGGAATATGGAATCGCACAGCCCTGAGGTGACGGCCTTAAGCTCACCTGAAGTACCAGTGGACCTAAAGGACACATCGGGACATCAGTCCGTGTACATAGCAGTGATTCGTTCATAAGGGGTTGTGATTGTAAAATCATTGATAAAAATAGAGAGAAATTGGCTTAAGCAGCCTACAGAACACTAAACAATGAGCATGTCCTCCTAAAAGTTAGCATTTCCGTGTGATGGATAGCCGCACAGACCAGTGAGTCACCAATACAAACCAGCGCGGCCAAATGGCATTTTAATTTACCAAAGTTACTTAATAGAGGATTTTACAGTTCTTGCAAAAAAAGTTTTATGGATAATAAAAGCAGCAACAAGGATCCATAATCAGTAGAAACGGCCAATTTGATTGGGTTAGCAATACGCGAGCCAAGTGGGGAAAATTTGACCACGCGGAGAAAAAAAACGAGCAGTTTCTCTAGCTTGACATTTAGGCTAAAGAGCGATCAGTTAAACAAAAAACACACGTGGGGATCACTGGATCATTACGCCTATAGGACAGTTAGGCGAGGAAAGAAACTCAGGGTCAGTGTAATTACGTGTTTGGTTTCCCCTCAGTTATTGTGGGACTTCAGAGTTGAGAATGGATAACGTTGCAATACACAAAGGGAGGAGACGCACAATAACACCGAGCCAATGCATTCAACACATTTCGTAGGGAAATCAAGCATCAGATATAAGAACCTTGTGGAGTTGAAGCTGGGTGGTACAGTGGTAGTTAAGACATTTCATGTAATTCCTTTTTGCACTCTAGTCCTGAAACTTGTTGCAAAGCCAGATTGATGAGAAGATGTTTACAGAAAACTCAGCCCACCAATCGATGATACGACACCGTACTGATCATCGATCTTCACCCTCGAGACAAGCTGAGCTAATGCACAAGTGTGTGCCTAGGAGTCCAAGTCGAGCGCAGGTAGCGAATGCGGAAAATGATTTGGGAGCCACCATAACAGCGATTTCGATGATTACTCATCAAAACGTTACCAGTGCC